TCGAACTGATTAAGCATGACAGGAAGACTAGGCCAGATGGACCTTACAGCATTCTGAACCATTGGATTTATAATTGTTAGGCCTTATTTAAATTAACAGTAGCGATTGCATAGAGCAGAAACTGTTTGCCTTCTGAGTAAGATGTGAAATAATACATCAGAACCAAGATAGCAATCACTTATACATGTATGTTTCTGCTTAGAAATAAACTCGAGACTTGAGATTGGAGGTTTCGCTGAGGACTATAAAAGTAGCCGAGTAATCAGACAATATAAAAATGCAAATGACGAATATTAATAGCCCCAAGAAAAACCGAAATCGAAACCGAAAACAAGTTTTAAGGGAATGAGTTGTATTCACCCTATTTAGTTTAAGATGATGAAGGACTGATAGTTGAGTTGAAATGTAAGATCTACTCTTATCATCGTGGGAAAAGTCAGCTACCAGTTCTTCGCCACCTTAAACGAAATAAGGTGAATACATCTCATATAACTGAGTTGATAGTAGTCTAGAATCTCTGCCTATAAAGGAAAAATAAGTTTGAATCAAACCTGAAATAATGCCTTAGGAACAGGATTAGCGCAAATGAATGAAGCTAAAGCCAAGGTTTTGTAAGGTAGGAATTCAAAAGGTGAAGAAGCTGGTTGGGACTGTTAAAATGATCTGGGCTAGAAAATAGGCAGCAGAGCTGCAAGTTGTGGTAATCTATAAATGTATATGCATTATATAAATAAGGCTAAAACAAACCTGCAGTCCCCCCTTGGCTTGCAAGCCCAGTGTAGAAGTGAGATATTCTTTATTGGCCTCAAATAGACTAGCTTCATCAAGTGTGGGCTTTGCAGACAGCACACCTGGTCCACTTGCGTTGAAGCGTTCGCGCATCATTTGAACGAATGACATTGCATGCTTCGCGTTTTTGGCGCCCATTTTCTTGAGCAATGGTCTCAGTGCAGCAGAGATTACAGCGTTACTAGACAATTCAAACGAAGAGGATTCTGAATTTAGCATCGTCAGATTGTCGCGCATCACAGCAAGAATCGTAGCCTGATCTCAGTACGAGAAGAACAGGAATGAGTTAAAAAAGAAGACGATAATAAAGAAATGGTCAGTACAAGGAATAAAAGTAAAATACAACATGCTTTTAATCGTTAGTATGTATAGAAAAGTATTCCGAAAATAACAAGCGAACGAAGTATTATGTCTATGTTACCTAGAACAAAGACTCTATTGTGACTATAAAGAAATGATGAGTTCACTTTAAATGTTGTACAACGTAGGTTAATGAAGAGATTTAGAACACAATAATGTCTAT